CTCACGCTGGGGCAGAGAGCGGCTTTTTCCCAAAACACCTCCCCGAAGCTACCCCCGGCCCACCTCCTCCGGCCACCGGGCCTTTTCCTGGGCTCCCCCTGCACGTGCTGATCTGCAAACCAGGACCCTCTGGGCCCCCCTCTCCTCCCAGGCTGTTCTGGTTCTGCTGAACTCCTGCCGGATGGCAAGCAGGTTTCCGGAGCCAGGAGCCGGCCGCCCACGGCCTTCGCCCGGCCCCAGCTCCAGAGCACCCGCGGGAACGAAACCGGCGTCTCTCTGCCAGCCCCAGGAGGCTCCTCCCTGAGTCAATGGTAGTTCAGAGGCGCCGTTAGCTCCCGGGCCTTCCCCCTTCTCCAGCCAGCGCAGCAGGGGAACCAGAGAAGGTATCCTACAGCACTACCTAAAATTAACAGTGAGCAGAGTGTTGTGAAGAACCACCTGTAACGTTCAGAAGAGAAAAATGCATTCTCCACTACAGAAATGCTGGAAATGAGTGGAGGTTAAACAAAAGATTATGCTCTAGAAGATCTCACGCCCTGGAGAGATTTCTACATTGAAAAATTCCTTGTCAACAGCTTAGAGAGCACAGAAATAGCTTAGTGCAGATTAACTTGATTTGCACTATTTTGAATTACTGCTTCAGTAACTGTACCAGCAGGCGTTACTGACATACGTTCAGTGACGAGAGGAGCTTTTTCCAGATCAAAAGAGTTACAGGATCGACTGCATTGCTGCGGTTTTGAGCTCTCATTAAAAATTAGGAGCATTTTTTCTAGAAACCAGGAGCAGGTATTCTGAGGAAGGAAGGAAGCAGAAGTCCACGACGAACATTCAGATTGGACTGGTGGAAGAAGCTTTATGCTCCCAGATGCACGGACGGAGGGACGCACCACGAGCATCCCCCCGCGAGGCAGGCTGGACGCTGCTGCCGCCGCGCAGACGTTAGAGCTGTGAGCAAACCCGGCAGTGGCCGCCGCGAGCCGAGCGGGCACCAGGGCGGCCGAGGCACGGGCAGCAGCACTGTCAGGGTACAGGAACACCCAACCTGTTGGACGAGAGCCATTCAGTGCCATTTAAAATGCTGAATGCCATCATGTCAGAAATGCCTCGAGACGAATAGCATAGATGTAGGAGCATGACAGAGTAGATGCTACAATGCATTTTACAAACAGTACATTTAACACATATTTTTTCCTGTAAGTATTTTTCCAATATGCTTCCTCAGGGTTTGTATTTCAGGCAGCTTCTGCAGCCATTGCGCTCTCTACTTCAGTTTACATCTCGGAAGAAAAACCACCTCCTATTTGTATCTGTGCCTTCACATGGCTTTTTAAAAACTCAGTCTGAGCTTCAGAAAGGTACTGAGCTTGAGCCTTAATTTTGCAGAACAGCAAGAAGTTGGTGTTTGAACATCTATCTCTCTTGGATAACTTTCTGTCTTGTCCTGTTTAACCCTATCTGGGCTCAAGGGACTAGATCTAGAGTCCACAGAAAACAAAGGAGAGTTTCCTATTCCCTTTAGATCAGGCAGAAAAGAGGTGGTTTTCATCTACCAAGTCCCCTCCCAGGTCTGTAAGGTCTTTCTTGTGTTTCCTGAAATCACAGATAAAAGCACCAGAACATCCTGCCAAGCCCCCAGAGAGGAAGGGGTTTCTGGGTGCAGGACAGCCACCCCACCGGGCTCTCAGAAGCAGCATTTCGAAACCTGTCAGCGCTGCTTTTCCAGGGTTCTCCACATTTACCGTCTTACCAGGCGCTACACAGCCATTTAGAACAACCAGGATTTTATTGATTTGAAAATACATTAACCATAGAGAATAGAGCTTTAGTTTTTCTTTCTGAACAACAATAAGGAACTGTTTACATAAAAAAAACAAAAGCATGAATAAAATAATATAAAACAGATATTATACCACAGTGTGGACTTCAAATAATCTAAGAACATTAGCAGCACTTCTACAAATATATTAAAAGCCATAGTGCTCATTAATCTCAGATAGAGCAACTCCCAGAGACCAAAATGGCATCCAACATACAAAAGCAGCAATTCAGTGTAGGGCAACATGAAAGTCTAATGCCAATACACAAAATACATTCATAGCCCTGCTGTTGAGAGGTAATCCCTGTCCCACAGAGCTTGTGACGTTGCCTGTCATTCCCATGACGGTTACAGCAGGGCGGCGGTCTAACACTCCCCGCTCACCCTGCCAAGCTCTCCGCAACACATTTTAGCGCTAGGGAAGTGACAACTATGGGCCTAAGGTTATGGCTGAGCTGGACTTCCAAAAAAATTCTAGATTAATTCTGTTTACAAAAAAACAGCTTTCTTCTTCCCTGGCTCCTGGGAATTACTCTCCAAGAAGAGAATGAATTTCTGAGAATTAAAGTAGATCATTTTATGTAGTCATAAAAATGAAATTTTTAGTACCTCAGTACCCAGAATCAGGATTCTTAATTCATTATCTTCCTTAGCAGTGAAGCAACGCAGATTCTTAAAACTGCCATGTATTTTTTGAGATTTTGTGCATAGCTTGAATTCTAGCAGATTACAGAAGAAAAAAAGGTGCTTTTTTCCTTTTACACGAAGTTTCTCCATTTAGCATTTTTTGGTTCCTACAAAAGAGTCAACGGAAAGCAGCCTGCCTCCTCAACATCGCCCACCTTGCACGGCTCTGAGCGGCAGCC